TCGCCGGGTCCTGCCAGGCCTTCCTTTGCCCGGTGCCTCCACGGCCCACTGCCTCCGCGCCCCGATGCTCTCCCAGCAGCTCCCCCTCAGCCTGCAGGCAGCTAGGACTCGGGGTTCTCCTCTAGGCTCCTGGATTCATGATCTGGTATCACCAGGCATTCTCTTTACATGGAAATCTTTTCTACATTATACAATTATTGGTAAGTTTTTCCTCAGGGGAGTCTAGACAAGGCTGATCTGCCTGTCACCTTTTAAAAGACAGGCTTCTGCCTGCCGCCTTAGATTGATGGCTGCTCCATGTTCTGTGGGTGGCGGGTGGTCCCGCAGCTGGGCTGAATACGAGGCCTAGGACTGGGGACTGGCTCCCTGCAGGCAGGTGCGGGGCCTGGGACCTGCAGGTGGCTTAGTCGGAGGGGGGAGTCATCTCTGGCTTCCTGGTGTTCCCCCAGCGTGCAGGACAATTGTTGACACGAGGAAGGGAGGCTGAAGGAAATTTAAACATGTTGTTTACCTTTTCTTCCCCTTCTCCTGCCCAAGGAAACATAAATCATGGGAGTTTTTCTTATTTCCTAAGTGGATAGCTAGTGCTGTAGGGAAAGTCTACTCAGGAAGAGGAGTGGCTCTGGCGTAGCTTCTTGGGCTCCTTAATGACGTGGGGACCACGAGTGCTTGCCCAGACACAAGTCCGGGAAGGGCATGTCCGCATCAGCGTGGTTGGGGCTTATGTAATTGGCATTGAAGCTGACCTGCACGCAGAATTCAGAGGGGCTGGGTGCTGAGATCTGGGGTGGGGACAGGTGGGCCTGGAGACAGCTAGCAGGCAGCATGTCCCCGGGGAGGACACAGACCCGTCTCCTCTGTAAGACGCACTCGGTGCTGAGGGGTAGACATGAGTGCTCTGCCTTGTGCTCATCTGGCGGATTCTCTCCTTGCCCAGTCCTTGACTGGTGGCTTGGAAATAGGAAAGTCTTTTCAGTGATAAACAAAAAATTCTCCACGTATGGAACCACGTCCCCGTGCGAACACTGCTTGCTCTGACTCTCAGCCGTGCGTAGTTCCCTGGGCCTGCATCATCCCACTGCCTCCTGACTGTGTCCGGGTTTGTGCTCTGCTCTCTCTAGAAGGCTCCCCTCCTCCCTCCGTCTGAAGAACTCCTCTTCAGCCTTCACTGCCCTGTTTGCCAGTCGCCTCCTCTTTGAAGTCTCCCCCCGACAATGGAGCTGATTCCCCTCTCCCCTCAGCCCATTTCCCTCTCAGACAGGTGGGGGCCGAGGTCCTGAGTGGTTGGCGTTTGAGGAGCCAGATCTGGGGCATCACTTGATGGAGAGACAGAATGGGAAAATCTGATCCGAAATCCGAGAGGCACCATGGGTGTCGTCTGTCAGAGAGAGCACCCGAACGGGCAGGGCCAGGGCTCGCCAGGGGCGCAGAGCTTGGAGAACAGAGGAGAGTGAGGGCTCAGAAGGAAGGGCGGGGAGGGCTGGATCGTTTACGCCCCCGTCCAGCCAGCAGAGAGTCCCAGGGTCTCCTCTGGGCCCGTGAAGTGCCGGGACCGGGGGTGCAGCAGTGCATGGGACGAAGGAAGAGCCTCCTCGGGTGCTTACGCCCAAGTGGGTTAGAGCCGCAGGCTTGGAGGAGGGGCTGCTCTAGATGGGGCGGTGAGGGAGGTCGTCTCTCAGGAGATGGCGTTTGGACAAGATCTTATGCAGAACATTGTGGAGCCAGGGGGCATTTGGGAGGAGGATATTCCAGGCGGAAGGAGCAAGTGTCCCCCCTGAGGTGGGGACAGAAGTGGCAAGTTTGGTGAGGAGGACCCAGTGGAGGTGATGAGGTGAGCGGAAGGGGGAGGCAGGTCACGAGTTTGCATTTTACCCTCAGTGTCTCGGGAAGCCCAAGGGGGACAGACGGTGCTGTGCGACCTGATGGGTTTTCCGTGTCGGCAGCTCCCTCTGCTGCTCTGTGGGATGTGGAATAGCAGGGAGACCAGCTAGGGGACTGTCACAGAGATGATGGCCGCCAGGCTGATGTCAGTGGAGCTGGGGCAAGGAGTTGGAGCTGGCTCTTCTGGAGGCTGAAAGCACGCGGGTGTCACAGCTCTCTCCATGGTGCTCCCGGACTGACCTCAAGGTGCAGTGGCATGACAGCGCGCATCTCTGTAGTGGCAGCGCCAGGATTTGCATCTGGTGTCGCAAACCTCCCCGGGATCTGCTCTTGTCGCTGTTCAGCCTGCCTGCCTTGTTAAAAACCATGTTTGTTTTAGGTTCGAGCTACCTGTCCCTTTATTTCCGTGTTACTGGGATTAAAGTCTTAAGAGTATAATTTTCAGGTTATCAAGAGAGATCAAGTAGAGCTAAATCTAAATAATTTGAACTGACTGATAGCTTTCCTTAATAGGAAATCAGAATCTAAATTTTTCCCCGAAGTAAGAGAAGCACACTCTTTTCGAGTGTGTTGATGTCTCGGTAGCACACCATGCTTCCGGGGCAGGGACAGGCGGGGAGAAGCCTGTGCAGGCCTGCAGGAAGGGGTCAGAGGTCGTTGCTAGATTGTGTGCTCCTTGGTGGCCGGCTGCTCTGGAGGAGCCTGAGCTCTGTGCTCACTGCTGGGGAGGCTGGCCGCCTCCTCCCGCGTGGGCTCCGCCTGGCTCAGAGACATGCTTGCCCTGGAGGCTTCTTCAGTTTCTGCAGGTGGTGTTCTTGATGGCTGGCTCTGGCCTCCCCACAGAGGAGCCGGGCCAGTGAGCCTGGGGCTCTGGTGCTGAGTCTGGAGCCAGGTCCCCCTGCAGCTTTCTCAGGCTTTTTGTTGCCCCTTGGTCTGGGAGTCACGACCAAGAGTACGTTCCAGCTGCCTGCACGGGTGGCGAGCTGGGTGCGCTGAGAGGCCCTGTCCATCCTTCCTCCCCAGGCAGAGCTGGCTAAACCATCTGGACCACAGTGGGCTCCTTCATTGCCCCGGCCGCCGAGGGAAAACTGCATTCATGCTTGTGAGGGGGTTTGGGGGGTGTGTGTGTGTGTGTGTGTGAGATAAGCTCTCTGAAAGTGTGGGGCTAGGTTAAAAGGCAGGAGTGCTCCACTGCTTAAATCCCCACTCCCCAGGAGGGAGAGACCGTGAGAAGAGGAGAGAGCCCTGCGCTCTGAGCGCCAGAACGTCCTTCAGTTCACACACACACAGCTCTGCGCATGAACACCACACACACGCACGCATGCAACACACACCTTTGTGCACACACACCACACACACGCATCACACACACCTGTGTATGCACACACATCACACAAACCATACACACATGCACATGCACGCACACATCTGTGCATGCACACAAACACCACACACATACACATACACCTGTGTGCACACACACCACACACCTGTGCACATACACACATTATACATACACAAACACACATGCACACCACACAGCCAGACAGACACACACACCCCCCAAGTTCCTGCAGCAAGACTGGCTCCCTGCTGGACCTCGGGCGGATGCAAATCAATCAGATGCAGATTTTGCTCACTAGGAGCTCATAGTCTCTTCTGTTTCTTTCTTACTATAAAATTACAATTTCTTGGTCTTGTCTCCTTTTTGGTTTATGTATGAAAACAACTCTTTTGCTAGAATGTGAGTGCTGGATTTGGGGACCCTGAATCAGGGGCCAGACTGGGAGGGGACCAGGGTGCTGCACTGTGGCCTCTGGGCTCCATTTGTGGGAGGTGTGCGGCAAGTGAAGGCTTCAAGCTGTGTGTGCGCATGCGTGTGTGTGCTTCTGTGGTCAGGGCGATGGCATTGTGTTGCACCTTGGTAAAATGCCTATCGTGAATAAAGACAGAGGAGAGTGGGTGGGTGTGAGTGATGGTAAGAGGAAGAGTCAATTGAATGTGAGTGTTGTAAGGAAAGAGAAGAGGCTAAGCTAATGCCCGGGTTTATGGCCTGGGTAATTGAATGGCTGGTGAGAATGTATGTGATGGGAAGATGCTTGAGTATGTCCTCTTGGATGGTGATAACTTTCTAGTGATTAAAAAACCCCCAAGCTCGTAGACACAGAGAACAGATTGGGTGTGGTTGCCAGAGGCTGGGGTGGGTGTGCGGAAATGGGTAAAGGGGGTCAAAATAAAATAAATACATCCTGGGGATGTAACGTAGAGCATGGTGACTATAGTTAATAATACCATGTTGCATATTTGAAAGTTGCTAAGAGAGTAGATCTTAAAAGTCCTCATGACAAGGAAAAAAATTTGTAACTATGGTGACTGATATTAACTAGACTTATTGTGGTGACCATTTTGCAATATATACAAATATTGAATCATGTTGTACACTGAAACTAATGCAATGTTATATGTCAGTTATACCTCAACTAAAAAAAGTGTTTATTTACCTTATGAGGGAAATTCAGAGCATCCACACGCCCACCTGCCCTCCTTCCCTCCCATTCATCCTTCCGTTCATCCGTCCATCCAACCACGCACCCCTTCATCCATGCATCTTCCCACCCACCTACCCTCCTACCCTTCCTCCCTTCTGTTTATCCTTTGCTTCATCCATCCACCCATCTGTCCATCCATGTACCCGTTCATCCATGCATCCACCCACACCTCTCCTCGTCTCTCTACCCGCCCATCCATCATCCATCCCTCCATCACTGAGGAAGTGTTCACTGCTGGGCCAGGTGCTGTACTGCCCAACTAAGGCCTGGGCGGCAGTTGTTACCTGAGGAACCTGGACGAACAGGGAGCATCTTTTGTGAGAGCTAGCTCATGTGTAGGACTGAGCCCAGGGGTTGGTGAAATACTGCATATTGCTTGTGAGTCAATGAAAAATTACGATAATTGGAATTTTACAAAAAAAATTAAACAGCAGTTGATGTTTGTTTATATTTTAGTATTAGAGACAGAGAAAAATATTGATAGTACAATTTTAAGTAAAAGAATGCATATATTTTAAAGCTTCTGATGTGCTCACTTTTTGCTTCACCACCCGTTCTATTTTCTTTCAGATTTTTGAAAGGATATTGTTCATATGGGCGATACGTCACCCTGCCAGTGGATATGTGCAGGGGATAAATGACCTCGTCACTCCTTTCTTTGTGGTCTTCATTTGCGAATACATAGGTAAGATCATATCATGATATTTTTTCTCACCAGCATTAAACATGGACTTTAGTGGCCTTACTTAATGTTACTGTGCATAATTATACCAATATTGAAAATTGCCATTAAGTTTAATGTTATTAATGACAACTAATAATAGAGAATAATAGTTTTCTCATTGTTGCCAGCTTTAAAAAATTCTTTAAATCCACGTGCTCAACCACTGAAGACATTGAGATACAGTTATTATTATTAATATCTTCTTTTTAATAATATAAGGAGAAATGTAATATATTTGGGGAGTGTAGTTTTGTTTTAATGGCCATCAGAGCGCTGGCTTTCATGGTTGGAATTTAAATGGATAAGGTTAAGGTGATAGAATATTAGTTGAATGTTTTGCTTACAAGCTAAAAACTGAATCTTCTTTAATTGCATTTCTGCACCATTTCGTCACCTTTCTGCTTCTGATATACTAGTAGCATTTCATTTTATGGGAATATTAGTTACATGCAGAATAATTGGTTTAATGGAGGTTTAGGGTGGGTTATGCCGTTTCTTGTTGAGTACTGTGTATTTTTTCTTCCGTTTATCTTACAGCAGCCAGTTGTCCTAGAACTTCACCTGTTTTGAACATATTTTAAGTTTTAAAAAAATTCTGATAATGTAAGTCGGAAGGATCTACTTTTTAATTCGTCTGTGGTTAAAAAAATACATAGCAAAGGGCTGGCTTTAGTCTTTCGTTGCGGTATTTTTGTTTAGAACCGATGTTGATTTGTCTTCATGTGGGCCTTCCCGACTTGGTGTGTTGGTTTATGTCAGTTCTTAGTCATTTCAGTCTCCCGTCTGCTTCACAGCCCATCGTTGTTGTAATCTGGAGAGATTAGGTTTACTCGAGGACAGATTATCCTCCGAGGATGAGAACACAGCCATTTAGTGCATTTTATCGCGAGCCCTCTCTCACTTTGTTTCCATTTATGATTTCAGAGGAGGTTTTTTCATTGCTAAGCAACTAACAAGAACTGCCGCCGCTCACTCCCTAATCATCTCTTAAGGAGGGGAGAGGCCCGCTCCTGAGAGCTCTTGCGTTTCTGCTTCTTACTCCCTCATTTGACAGATAATGAAAATGTTCTTAATGATCCTAGAACAGTAGGACCTCTGTCAGTAGACTTCAGAGTTGTTAATTGAAAGAAGAACTTCAACCGAGATGTGATTAGAGAATTGATATTCCATGTTAAATAGACCATTTAATTAATGTGGTAAATAAGTTTGTCTTAACTACTTTACCACCAACTTATGTTGTAAGACCCAAGTGATCCTTAATGCATTTGCAAGATAGGATGAAGGGGCATGACCGTGCTGTTAATTGTCCAGAAGAGAGAAAAACTGGAGAAAATAGAATCTGTTCTGTAAGTGGTGGCTTCAGTTAAGCTCAGAGACTTTCCTTGCCTTCCTGCTGTGCCCACACACACATGTGCACGTGCACACATTTGCACACATGCACACACATGCAAACATGTGCATCGAGTGGATGTACACTGTGGTTTTGGAACATTTGTGTGAAATGTACCGTTTCTTCACTTGACTGTGTTAATTAGCGGACATCTGTTATCTTTTGCTCCTGGCTTTCAGGTGTGATTGGTGGATGTGAGGTCTTTTGGATCTTGTCTCCCAGGCTTGGGAGTGTTGGTTATTATGGTCCAAGTCCACCCTCAGTGACAGGTACAGCCTCATGTCTGTTTAGGTGGCCTGCTGTACTACTTGGCTGCCTTCTGGAGCAGCAGTGTGGGCGTCCATGCAGACCTCACGGGGCGCCTGCTGTGGGGTTTCTGGCAGAGCACAGGGTGTGGAGACCATGTCAGTTCATTTCAGCCAGTGTTGACTGGGCACCTCCTGGCCCTCTCCAGGGTGGTGGGGATGCAGGTGGGCGAGGCGAGTATGGTTCCTGCCCTCTGGGAGCTGGTGGCGGTAGCAGAGAAGACAGCTTTTAATCAAGTAATTGAAGCAACTAGACATTCGTATTATCAAGAGGAAGTATGAAATGGGCCGGCCCGGTGGCGCAGCGGTTAAGTGTGCACATTCTGCTTCAGCGGCCTGGGGTTTGCTGGTTTGGATCCCGGCTGCGGACGTGGCACTGCTTGTCAAGCCATGCTGTGGTAGGCGTCCCACATATAAAGTAGAGGAAGATGGGCACAGATGTTAGCTCAGAGCCAGTCTTCCTCAGCAAAAAGAAGAGGATTGGCAGTAGATGTTAGCTCAGGGCTAATCTTCCTCAAAAACAAAAAAAAAGAAGAGGAAGTATGTGAAGTGCTATGGGAACAAACTTGGGGAGGGGTCAGGAGCCTCCTGGACCCCAGGACGTTCCATGGCACCTGGTTGGGTGAGAGGAGCATCATGTGCGGAGAGTGGCAGGAGTGCAGGCCTGGGCTGCAGTCACAGGGCTGGAAGAAGTGCAGCGTGGTGACGTGGATAGTGAGGAGCAATGATAAGCCATGCGCTGGGGGATGCAGGGGCAGCCCTGGGCGGGGGGGTGAGGCTCCGTAAGAACCTTGGGCCAAGTCCTCAGGGGTGTGAGAGCCACCGAATTAGGGAAAAACCTGATCTCTCCAGATTAGCAACTCAGGGTTGCGGCTGAGGGATAACACGCTTGCGTTCTTGTCTGTCAGCTTGGCCCTGGCTGCAGAGATTGGAGGCATGGAGAAGCTCGTAGATGATGGGCACACGTGCAGTAATCCGCTGGCCAGAGGGCTTTCTGATTTGCTGGGTTTTCAAGCAGGTAAACCTCAGATGCTTTGCTAACTGAAGATTTTGAAAGTGTCTTTCTTTCCTTGGGACGGTAGAACTTGGGCGTGGGGTTCTGTGGTTTGGGTACCTGAGTGCCTTAGCAGTGCTTTCGGTCAGATGACGTGACTGCTCAGCTCTCAGGAGGCACATGGCTTAGGGGATCAGCCCGCATGTGTACTGCCTCCTGAAAGCCGTACCTCACTCCATTCTTGAGGCAACTTATGTTGTTATTTGGGTTTTCCTCTTTCTTTTAAGCTGAAATATGGGGAACAGTTCCTGTTGATTGAAGGTAGGAGAAGTCCCTTGGGTGTGCGACTCCTCCAGGAGCCCTCAGGCAGCAGTGGACAGACCTGCAATGCCTAACTGGGAGCTGCGCTTTTTCCCTGGAGCACGTGTTTGCCATGGGCGCCCAGCTCCTGGCCTTCTGCGTGGTCCTCCTGGGTCATGAGGGAGGAAGAAGAGGACCCTGGAGTGCAGCTCTGATGACTGTGATGTCCCAGGCAGGGAACAGCCACTCCTGAGCAGCAGAGGTCCTGACTTTGCAAGTGCGAGGTGGCACATAGCGGCCTCTTAATGCCATAGGTTTGGACTTGAGAAAGAAGGATACAGGAAATGAACAATGGCTGATCTGTTTGGGGTTGACAGATGGTCTGGAGGACCTTGGCTTATCAACTAGGTTAACTGCTTCCTGACAAGGAGTGGGTGTCCCTGCAGGTCAGAGGGTTCGTCTTTGTTAGGAGGCCGGCCAGAATGATCACAGACGTAGGAACAACTTGTAGGGAGGGAGGATGTACTCAGAGAACACTGTAAAACCGGAACAGGGGAGAAGCAGGAGTATCCTGGGAATTGAGCAGTGTAGAGGCAGCACAGCCGCCCTGACGGGTCTTTCAGGGCTGCCAGCACACCGTGGGGATGAGTCAGTAGTACGTGCCATCGAGCTCTGGTCTCACGCCCCTGGGGGAAGGCAATTTAGTCCCACTGTCAAAGTACGCAGTATCCTCAGATGCAAGTTAGCACATGCACATATGCATGCGCACACATACACAGATATGCACGTGCATGCACACACAGGCGTACGTTTGCACACACATGCACATGCACCTGCTTGCCCCTCACTAGTGCTAGCCACAACCTCTCCAAGTAAAGGTGGCAGAAATCCTTGACTAACCTTTGTTTGGATGGAGCCCACAGTCTCTGGTGGGCCCTGGAGGCGCCTGTCAATCTCACGAAGGATGGTTGGGCAAGGAGGTCAGGAGACCTCTGTGACCTCAGAGGTAGGGGTAGCAGTGTGCAGAGCCCATCAAGATGTGGAGGCTGGTAAATATAGTCATTTAGGTGGCACTGAAGCCTGGGGGACAGTCCTACGAGTGGAGTGTCATAATGGGAGGGTATCATTTTCTCAGAGAAGTCGATCATGGAAGAGTGCGCTGTGCCAGGAAGGTTTGGGAATTCATGAATTTCAGGAGTTGAAGCCTTGGGGAGTGAGTAAGAATTTTTAGGCACATAAACGACATGTTTGCTGAAGCATCATCAGTGTGCCCATTGCAGATCTGAGCCTTGCTCAGGTGCTTGGTCTTGTAGATTGCATCCTTGGTCTTGCAGATGGATCCAGAGGCTAGGCAGAGTGTGCAGGACACTCCAGCCAGCACATGCATTAGAGGCATCACCTCCCACCAGAAACAGGCATGAGACACAGTCCTGAGTTTTATCATTTGAAAGCTAGAGGAAGCAGCATGTTAACTACTCCTGTGGACTTGATTCAGCCATTGAGGAGGCGGGTCTAGGATGAGGCTGAGATAGGATCCCTGCCGTCTTAGAGTTCATGGTAGCAAAGCAAGGGAGTAGTGGGCATAGAGAGACATTGGGGGCTGATGGGAGCGGGCCCAGAGGCAGGCAGGGGCAGAACCTGGGACTAGAGAGAAGGCCCTGGCGCCAGAGATGGTGAAGAGATTGACCTGGGGGGCCTGGAGGCTGAGCGGAGTCGAGGGTGAAGGAGAAGGAAAAGTCTGGCATGTATCCCGGGTTCCTGGGTACCGTCGTGGATGTAGTATTGTTCTCCAGGACGGGACATAGAGTGAAAGGAGCTGGTCTAGGAGGCAAGATGACGCTCTGCTTTAGGACACGTTGAGCCTGCTTCATCTGTGGTGAATCAAGTAGGGTGTCCAGTGCGATCTGGAGCTTGGAAAAGAGGTCTGCGCTGGAGGTCGTTTTGGGAATTGTTGTCCTGGAAGCGGCAGCTG